AAATGGCAGCAAATACACATCTATCAATAACTGAATGTAAAAATCAAAATAAATGAATAAGAAATCTAATGAACAGAAAAGAATAAGCTGGTCAATAAAATAGAATTAGAGGCATGGAAATGGAAGAGACTGACAATTCTCAGAGGGAAAGGGTGTGGGGTGGGGTTGGGAAGAGATTAAACAAAAATCTTATATGCATATATGCATTACCTATGGACACAGACAATAGGGTTGTGAAGGCCTGGGGCAGGCAGGAATGGGGTGGAGGGGGGCAATGGAGGGAGAAAGAGGGACATCTATAATAATCTCAATAATAAAGACTTTTTTTTAAATGAGAAAGAGGAAGGAGAAAGAGAGAGAGAGAAACATGAATGTGAGAGAGAAACTTTGATTGGTTGCTTCCCACATGCACCCTACTGGGAATCGAACCCACAGCCTGGGTATGTGCCCTAACCAGGAATTGAACTTGCCACTTTTTGGTGTATGGGATGACACTCCCACCAACTGAACCACACACTGGCAAGGGCAATCATTCTATTCTTATGCTCACTTTTGCAGCCAAGCTTCTTGTAACAATTATTAACATATGCCATCTCTAGTTTCTAACCTCCCATTTACACCTTATATTATGCTAATCTGGCTTTAATACCCACCATTTCATTAAAACTATTTTTGTCAGTGATAACTCTGTCACTTAATTTAATAAACGTCTAATTAATCCTCTAAGTAGTTATCAGTACGGCTGACCACTCTCTCCTTCTGGAACTGCCTCTTTCGTGGTCTCTGTGATGCCAAAATATTCTTGGGCTTTCTCCAGTTTTATTTACCAATCCCTTTTATGTTCATTTCTTGGTTTCTCTCCATTCCATTAACATTTAAATGTAAGAATTTATCAGGGTTTGGTTCTAGGTTCTCTTTTCAGTCTCTACAGTCTTTATCTAGGTGATTTCATTGGTTTCTTTAGCTTCAAATATAGTCTATAGGCCAACAATTTCTACACTGACAGCCTTTGTCCAGGGCTCTTTTCTGAAATCCATATTTTTATGTCAAGTGCATTTTTGACTTTTTAGTCACTTTGATGTCAAAGAGATCTGAAACTTCTCATGTTCAAAACTAATCTAGGAGGAGTCACTCTTAGATTAGAAGTGATTTTGAGAATTAGTATAAATCTATAGCAATCATGTCAGGGGAACATTATCCAGAAAATATTATATATATATAAAGTTTGAATAATAATAAAGGCAGTGTTTATTAAAATATATTTCAAAATTTAACTATCTCCTTTAAAGTTTATATATCTATTTTGTATATCAAACCATACAAATATGCATATATATACAGACCCATACATATTTGACCAATTAATTTTTTTTGATTTTTTTAAAATTTTTTTATTGATTCATTTGAGGGGGCGGGGAAGAAAGAGACAAACATCAATTTGTTGTCCCATCTATCCATGCATTCATTAGATGATTCTCATATGTGTCCTGATCAAGGGAGGATGCTCTAACCCAGTGGTGGGCAAACTCATTAGTCAACAGAGCCAAATAACAACAGTACAACGATTGGAATTTCTTTTGAGAGCCAAATTTTTTAAACTTAAACTATATAAGTAGGTACATTGTTATTAACTTAATTAGGGTACTCCTAAGGCTTAGGAAGAGCCACACTCAAGGGGCCAAAGAGCCGCATGTGGCTCGAGAGCCACAGTTTGCCGATCACGGCTCTAACCAACTGAACTATCCGGTCAGGGCCAATTGACTTTTCATAAAGATAAAAGGCTAATTCAATGGTGAAAGAATTGGCTTTTCAACAAATGATGTGTCAAAACAATTGGACATCTATATTAAAAAAACACCCAAAAACAAAAAGAACCTCAACCTCTACCTTATAACATATACAAAAATGATAATAATAACTCAAAATGAATGAATCAAAGACCTATAAGTAAAATCTGAAATTTTAAAACTTTAAGAAGAAAAAACAGGAGAAAAATATTTATTTGGATTAGTCAAAAATTTCTTAGCTAGAACACAAAAAGCACAAACCATAAGAGCTAAAATGACCAACTGAATTTATCAAAATTAAATAGTTCTGTTCTTTTAAAGATGCTGGTAGGAAAATGAAAAGTCAAAAAAATGAGCTTAAATATTTACAAACTACATATCTAATGAAGGGCTAGTATCCAAAATATGTAAATAACTCTCATAAATCAATAATAAGAAAATAAATAACCATTTTTTAAAAAAAGGAGCTACAGATATGAATAGACATTTCACCAAAGTGAATATGTACCTGGTAAATAAATACACGAAAACATATTCAATAGCTTTAGTCATTAGTGAAGTTCAAACTAAAATCATAATGACATACTATTATATACCTATTAGAACGACTAAAATAAAATTTTTAAAAATCTGACATTACCAAGTTCTGGCAAGGATGAAGAGCAACTGGAACTCATACATTGCTGGTGGGATTGAAAAATAGTAAGACTCTTTAGACAGCAGTTTGGCACTTTCTTATAAATTTACCATATGATCCATCATCCCACTTCTAGGTACTTACCCAAAGAAATGAAAACATGTCCACATAAGAACCTGTGTGCAAATATTTATGTCAGCATTTTTTCAAAATTGCTTAAAACTGCCCAGCTGGTGTGGCTCAATAGTTGAACATCAACCCATGAACAAGGAGGTCATGTTTTCGATTCCAGGTCAGGACACATACCCAGGTTGTACACTCCACCCCCAGATGGGGGTGTGCAGTAGGCAGCTGATCAATGATTCTCTCTCACTGATATTTCTATCTCTCTCTCCCTCTCCCTTCCTCTTTCTGAAATCAATAAAAACATTAAAATAAAATAAAAATTGCCCCAAACTAGAAGCAATACAAATGTCCTTCTTGTGAGTAAACTGTGTTATATTTACACCAGAAATTCTACTCAGCAATAAAAGGTCTAATTTACTGGTCAGTGCAGCCACATCGATGAATCTCAGATGCATTATGCTAACTGGGAGAAACAAAATACAAAGGCTACATATTATATACCTTAATTTATATGACATTCTGAAAAAGACAAAACTATAGAAACAGAAAACAGATCAGTGGTCATTGGAGATGGGATAAGAGTGAGGTGATTAACTACAAAGGGCATCAGGGAAGTTTCTGAGATGATTGTGGTGATGTTTTCACTACTATATGTTTCTCAAAAATAGTGAATTTTACTGTATGGAAATTATGCTCATGGAAACTTGAATGAAAAAAAACTGATATAAAGATTTTTCCCCATATACATGCTTATTCCTCAAGTCTCCCATTTTAAAGAAATGACATCACTCTCCACCCAATTTTTGAAGCTAGAATCGTACAGTTATTTTCACAACTTCCTTTTCCTTCACTGATCATCCCCCAACTCATTTCTAATCCATCCCCAAATCACATCAATTTTGCTTGTAAAACATATTGAAAACCTATCTTCTAACCTTCCTATTTGAGCTTGCCATTCTCAACTACACTATTGCAATAGCTTCCCTGATGGTCTCCCGGCATCCATTCTTGGCATCCTCCAACCCTATCCTATATAATAAAAGCCTAATATGCTAAGTCTCCAGTCATTCTGTTGACTGGTCGACCATTCAACCAACCAAAGTGTAATATGCTAATGATACGCTTAGGCCACTCAACTGCTCGCTATGACGTGCACTGACCACCAGGGGGCAGAAAGTTGACTGGTAGACCAGTCGCTATGATGTGCACTGATCACCAGGGGGCAGATGCTCTGACCAGTAGGTTAGCTTGCTGCTGGGGTCTGGCCGTTTGGGATTGGGTGAAATGGGGCCAGACACGCCCTGGAGCCCTCCTGTGGTCCCTCCCCAGCCCCAATTGTACACCGGTGGGGTCTCTCATCCTGGCCTGCATCCTCTTGCAATCCCAGACCCCTCGGGGGATGTCAGAGAGCTGGTTTCAGCCTGATCCTGCAGGCCACTCCCCTCAGGAGGGGACTGATTGGGCGCGAGCCCATGTCCAGAATGAGCAAGAGTGGCAGGTAGGAGATACAGGCGGTTTTGGACTGCTGGTTTCAGCCCAATCCGGGCAGGCCACCCCAAGGGACCCCACCTGTGCACTAATTCATGCACCGGGCCTTTACTTTCTACATAACTACAGAATGATGAATTTAAGTGAATATTAAACCATATTATTTTCTTGCTTAGAACTCTTCAATGGCTCCATTTCTAATCCCCATACCTTGGCCTCCAGCAGGTCATATGTGGTCTAATAAATCCAGTGTCATCTTGTACACTGCCTTCTACCCTCTTGTCCTCCCACCCCAACCCCATAACCATGATACTCTGGCCTCACTGGCCTTCTTACATTTGTTGAATATTGCAAGTTTTTTGCTCTCCTAGAAAGTTTACACATACTATTTTCCAGACCTAGACTCTTCTTCTTGGATCCATTTCCTTTTAATGGCTAGCTATTTCTCATTATAAAGGTTCAGCTTACATATAATATCTTTAGAAAAGTCTTAAACATTTTGTAATAGTTCCTGCATGACATTCTCTTTCATAGTGCCTATTTTGATCTTTTCCCAATTGATAATTTTATATTTATGAATTTATTTTATAACATTTATATCACCTACTAGAACCAGAATATAAGCTCCTTAAAGGCAGAAACTATTTTTTTCTTTTTCATTTACTTATCACATTACCTGATATATCATAGGAGCTAAATAAATACTTTTGTAAGTTAACAACCCTCCAACAATTAAAAAAAAAAGATTCCAAGATAATCACTGAATGTCCAACGCCAACATAATATTATCCATCTGTCGGTCTGTCTGTCTTTCTATCTATCTATGTATTTTTAGGGGCCCCTGACTTACGCTTAATGTATGGATATACCTACTACATTGTCTGAGATAAGACAGGATCACCAAGTTTCAAATCCATGAATGTGCAAATAGATGACAATGCCAGCCACCCAGAAAGGCTTACCTCTCCAAACCAATTGCTTGGCACAGAGAATGGAGCTTGGAGTTGTACAAAAGTGTAAAGCTGTGTGTCCACTTAAGGAGTAGCTATTGAGCTTGGCTCCATGGTCACAAAGGATCTTAACACAATCCAAGTTGGCCATTTCACAAGCCACATGAAGAGGAGTTTTCCCATTGGGTCTACAGTTGATTGTAGCATTGTGGTCCAGTAGTACCAAAAGACATTCCACGTGACCAAACAAGACAGAGAGATGCAGGCCTGTTGCCCAAGAAGACTTTAACTTATAACTAGGCAACCAATAACCTGAAAAAGAAAGGGGAAGAAAGTTTAGCTTCTTGGCCTAGGATTTCCCCATGTTTTATGAGGATTTTTAGAGTATTTTACTTTGGTCACATTTATAAAATTGGGGCAGGGAGATGATTCAGAAGTTGTTAACTAGTAACTAATGGGTCTACAAATGCTTAGTTAAGTGTCATATTTGGATGTACAAAGTGGGACAGGTGCTCTTGAGTTCTTACTATTTCTACCAGCCTCTATTATTTTGTTCTTTTACTTACTTTACCTTCCTAGCTCTCCCAGGCATTTGAGTTTGAGACCTTCATTTTTGTGATTGCATTTTATTTTATACAAGGGCCTAGTGCACGAATTTGTGCACCTTGAAAAGAACTGTGGGCTGTGAGGCTGCAGTGGGCACAGGGGCGGGTCTCAGCCCATCCTCCATGCCCCTGCCTGGCCCCTCCCACTGCAGCTACCGGTCTCCTGTCTGCTGGCAGCCCCGCTCCCACCGCATCCGCTCCCATGCACTGATAGTGCTGGCCCCACTTGTACCTGCTGACAGTGTAGAGCGATTGGGACAGGCACCAGCAGCAGGTGCGAGCAGCAGCTACCAGCCCCAAGCACCCCTCAGGAGCATGGGGAGGTGGAGAAGCCCTCAGGGGTGATCAGGGCTGGTAGCTGAGGCTCGCATCCACTGATGGCGCTGGCAGCGGGTGTGAGTGGGCCTGGTGCCTGCAGCAGGTGCGAGCACTGGGTGGGACCGCGGCACACAGGAGCAAAGAATTTTCAGTAACCACCAGAGGCTGGCTCCGATGATGGCGACCAGCACCCCGCCTTGGTCTGGTGCCTCCACTCACCTGCTCTAACATCCTGCTGCAGCCAATGCCTGCTATGTTCCATGCTCTGCTGCCTGCTGCCAACACCTGTCAAGTTCTGTGTGCGCCTCCTGGTGGTCAGTGCACATCATAGCGACCAGTTGTTTGGTTGTTCGGTTGTTCTGCTGCTCAGTCTATATGCATATTAGCCTTTTATCATATAGGATTTAGCCTTTTACTATATAGGATGATAAGTTACACAAGACTCATCTATATATAATATAAAAAGCCCTAATATGCAAATAGACCAAATGGTGGAACAACTGAACAACCAGTCGTTATGATGTGCACTGACCACAGAAGGCACATGCGAACATTGTGGGTGTTGGCAGCAGGCAGCAGAGCGTGGAACATGGCGGGCATCGGCTGCGGCAGGATGGTGGAGCAGGTGAGCGGGAGTGCCAGACCAAGGTGGGGCGCAGGTTGCTGTCATCGGGGCGAGTCTCTGGTTGTTACTGAAAATTCTTTGCTCCCGTGCACCATGGTGCCGCCAGGCGCTTGCACCTGCTGCTGGCACTGGAGACACCGTTCACCCCTGCTGCTGGCTCCTAGCGCCAGCCCCAATCTCTTGGCACTGTCAGTGGGTGTGAACAGTGACTGCTGGCCCCAATCGCCCCTCAGGGCTTTTCCACCTCCCCCTGCTCCTGAGGGGTGATCAGGGCAACAGCCACAGCTTGCACCCACTGATGGTGCAGCCATGTTTACATCTGCTGCTGGCATCGGCCCCAATCACTCTATGCCATTAGCAGGTACGAGTGGGGCTGGCACTGTCAGCGCATGGGAGTGGCAGCAGCAGGAGCAGGTCTGCCGGCAAACAGGAGACCGGGGCCGTGCGCGGGGCGAGGAGGATGGGCCGAGACCCACCCCTATGCCCACTGCAGCCTCATGGCCCACAGTTCCTTTCAAGGTGCATGAATTCATGCACTGGGCCCCTAGTATTTAAGAATTTTTAAGATCCCAATCATTGTCTTGAATGATGTCAAAGATTTAATTACAAGCTTAAAAGTTTTATTCCATCACAGCTCTTTTCCAAATAGTTGTGGCTGTTGTTGTCAATTTAAGGTGTGAAAGTATTTGATGTTTTTACAAAATTTGTCACACTGAGATTTTATTTGCCTGTTTGTCAGTTTACACAATACTTTTTTCCAAAGAAGAATTTAAGGCAACTCACAAATTTTACACTAAATTTTTTAATAACCTAGAAAATAAGTGCAAAAAAAATAAGGTAAGAACATAAAAAGAGGTCAAGGGTAAGATAGGTACACAAAATTCACACCATATCTACACACTAGAACTGCATTGCAAGTTTGCCTTTGAACTTCCTGGAAGGAAATAAACAGGAAAACCTATGCTATGCAGTTAACTATGCCCACAAACTATATACAAATTAATTGGTCAGGAGGAGCACAGTTGTTCCTAGAAGTGAGATCTTAGATACATTTTTCCCATTAGTTGGGAATGTTTTCTCTCTCTCTCTCTTTTTCTCTCTCCTTTTCACCTCTGACCTCTGACTTCTGAACACTGGGCTAGTTCTTTTTATCTAAGGCTCCAACATTGCCATATTTGACAAGCTATAACAATAACTTCATGAGCCTTCTTTCAGTGTCAATACCTAGAGCCATGGCATTAAGCTCACTATGAGTGGGGACTGAAAATAGGTACAGAAAGATGAAATATAGATGGCGAGATGAGGATGCAGAGACAGCTCAACAGCAGAGAAGAGAGTCTAGGGCTGAAGCAACAAAATATATTTTTAAATGTTTTATTATTGATGAGAGAGAGAGAGGCAAACAGGGAGAGAGAGAAGAACATTGATTTGTTCCACTTATTTATGCATACATTGGTTGCTTCTTGTATGTGCCCAGACCAGGGATTGAACCTGCATATTGGGATGATGCTCTAACCTACTAGCGACCCAGCCATGGCTCAAAATACAGTTTAACATGGATAAATCAGAAGTTTGCTTTTAGGTTACAAAAATTCCACTATATACATACTAGGTAAGCAGAATATGATTTAATAGTAATTTATTTGAGGAAAGGCCTGTGGATTTGAGTTGACAGTAATCTCAAAATGAGCCAACAGGGGGATGGAGCTGCCAAAAAGTTAATACAATCGTAAGTTTCATAAATGAAAGTGCAGGGCCCAGAACAAGTGAAGTAAAGTTGTATTCTTCCCTGATTAGAATGAGGTCAGAATAAATCTAGAATATTGTGATATTTCTGAGCATCTGGGGGCACTCAATGGATGAAGACCAGGGGATCGAGTATTAAATTCTCTCATTTCAGTGAAAAACACTACATATGTGCTCCTCTCTGTGAAGGGTATTAAGTTCCAGGAGTTATGAATCCTGGCCGACTGGCCTATGAACAAAAACATACACTGTCACATGCACTACACTACAGCATTGTTATTGACGGCTAAGGATTACAAACAACCTCAGTGTATATAAATTATGGTACATCCATACAACCTAATACTACAGAGCCATTACAAAGAAGGGAGCCCTTCTGTGTTTACTGATATGGAAGAATCTCAAGATATAGTATTGAAAGAGAGAGAGGCAGGAACCTGAACAGTGTGTATAATATGCTATCATATATGTGTATATTTATAAACACCTAGAACAAGTGGTTACAGTGGTGGTCTCTAAGAACTGGGGGTCAGGGAACTAGGCCATTGATTTCCTTGTCCTTGAATGCCCTCTTTGAACTTTTAAATTTATTGTCTTGTGGATGTATTCTTACTTATAAAAATAAATAAACTATTGTCCCCCTATCCAAAGAGGGGAAATAATTTAAAGAGGCCATTTAGAGGCTCATGCATAATGCTCATTAATTCTGAAGTAATGAAGGAGTCCAAACCAAAGTTTATTTTTCTGCAGCCCACCTTCGAATGCACACACACATACACACACACTCACATACACACTTTAATCCCTTTTTCATCCCATCAGAATTTTAGGGCCATTTTACTTTCTCTTCTTCCCAAATTTTCCATTATTTAAATCCGTTCTTTAAAAAGAAATAAAGAGTTAATTCACACTAAGGTATAATGAACTGAGGATGGTTTGAAGTGTGACCCTCTTAGAATTATCTGAATTTGGGTAGAAATCTGTATTCGACAAATAGAATTAAGTTCTGAGATACTAATTTGAGATTATTGACGCTGAGAAGGGAAAGTATTTGGTGATACGGACTTTCCCTGGCAGAGACAAATAGTATCAGATAGCTGGGGAGTGCCAGTCCTGTGCCTGTAATGTGTGTGTGCATGCATGCATGCGTGTGCGTGCATGCATGCGTGTGTGTGTATGCATGTGTGTGTGCGTGCATGCGTGCATGTGTGTGTGTAAATAAATATGCACACATAATCTATGTGTATGTATCCATTTATACATCTTATGTAACTGTGTACATTGCATCTGTGTTCCAAACAGAGTTGTTAAACTATATGGTATGCAACCTACTTTTGATAATGAATGAATCACATTTGACATTAATACTCCATCAGTCATTTTCATACTCAAACTTCCTCAACAAGCAATTTGCAAAGGCAGTCTTTTCTAACCGTCTTGGAGAGAAGCTGGTTCCAGATCTGCAACCTGGGGTGTGTTTTGCCTGCCGATTAGCAGCAAAGATTCAACAGCCCTGTGCAGCGGCTGATTGGAAATTCGTGCCTGCCTCTGCAACGGGAAGAAAAATGATCCCTGAAAGGCAGCAGCAGAGAGCTGATTAAGAAAACACCATTTTGATGTAAAATCAAAGACACACAGAATGTTAGCGCTGGAGGGAAGATTATCCAGTCCAAGTCTTTCATTTTCCAGATGAGAAAACTGCCACTTTCGCAGACTGCTGGAGCCATAAGTCTCCTGCCTCAGTCCAAGCTAATGGACTCAGGATATCTGCAGTGCAGGGTTTCCATCTGTCTTTGTCTTTGTGGAAGCAGAATAGGTTCAGCGCCAAGCCTGCTTCACAAATCACGAGGAAGGAAAGAAGATCCCAGATTCATCTATAACATGTCACATCTCTGCTTTGGAAATGCCTTTGCTTGTTGATTTCTTTCTTCCTCTTAAATTCCCAATAGCACCTAGAGACTCTATCCTGCCCGTTTATTACATGCATCCATCATCCGTGGCCTCCCCGTCAGTTGCAT